AATACTTTTAAAATCTACGCTATAAAAAGACATTTATCATAAAATCTTGTAAAAAACACAAAGGGAGAAGAAAATTACTGCTTTAACAGCCTAAAAAATGCAACTATGTTGTCACACAACAAAAAACATTGGAAACTGTTTTACCCAAAAACAAACTAATGTAAACAGAGGGTGTTAAGTGTTGTTAATTCTAGTGGAAATAATTTGGTTGTTTCTGCCGCTTTTTTTTCATGTTTCATTGTATAAAACATATAAATGCAAATATTATCCACACCCTCTCTTGCAGTTTCATTAACAGTTTTTTTTTTAAACAACAGCAACAACAATAACATGATAATTATTATAATATCCACAGTTCGTTTTACTTTACTTTTAATCCCCAGAGTAAAGAAGAAAATCTTTCCAGTAGACACGCGTTTACACTTGAAATTGTGGGAAAATGTTTTGTTTGAATTTTAAGATTAAGTTGTCCCTGGGGTTTTTGCGTTAAAAGTTTGTTAACAAATTGAAAATTGACCGTTTAATGTCATGTTTGAATGTTAAATTTAATGTAATTAGTTTTGGGAATTCTCGAAAAAAGGAAGATTCTTATTTCATAAACAAGTTTTAAAAGTGGGCGTGTTAGGCAATAAAATAAAATTGATAAATTATGGTGGGAAGTGAACACTAAAAAATCTTAGAACTGAACCATAACTGAAGTAGAATTGAACTAGAACTGAAATAGAACTGAACTAGAATTGAATTAGAACAGAAATAGAACAGAACTAGAACAGAAATAGAACAGAACTAGAACAGAACTAGAACAGAACTAGAACAGAACTAGAACAGAACTAGAACAGAACTAGAACAGAACTAGAACAGAACTAGAACAGAACTAGAACAGAACTAGAAGAACTAGAACTAGAACAAAACTAGAAAAGGATTAGAACAGAACTAGAACAGAACTAGAACAGAACTAGAACAGAACTAGAACAGAACTAGAACAGAACTAGAACAGAACTAGAACAGAACTAGAACAGAACTAGAACAGAACTAGAACAGAACTAGAACAGAACTAGAACTGAACTAGAACTGAACTAGAACTGAACTAGAACTGAACTAGAATTGAACTAGAACTGAACTAGAACTGAACTAGAACTGAACTAGAACTGAACTAGAAATGAACTAGAAATGAACTAGAACTGAACTAGAACTGAACTAGAACTAGAACTGAACTAGAACTGAACAAGAACTGACTAGAATTGAACTAGAACTGAACTAGAAATGAACTAGAAATGAACTAGAAATAAACTAGAACTAACCTAGAACTGAACTAGAACTGAACTAGAACTGAACTAGAACTGAACTAGAACTGAACTAGAACTGAACTAGAACTGAACTAGAACTGAACTAGAACTGAACTAGAACTGAACTAGAACTGAACTAGAACTGAACTAGAACTGAACTAGAACTGAACTAGAACTGAACTAGAACTGAACTAGAACTGAACTAGAACTGAACTAGAACTGAACTAGAACTGAACTAGAACTGAACTAGAACTGAACTAGAACTGAACTAGAACTGAACTAGAACTGAACTAGAACTGAACTAGAACTGAACTAGAACTGAACTAGAACTGAACTAGAACTGAACTAGAACTGAACTAGAACTGAACTAGAACTGAACTAGAACTGAACTAGAACTGAACTAGAACTGAACTAGAACTGAACTAGAACTAGAACTGAACTAGAACTGAACTAGAACTGAACTAGAACTGAACTAGAACTGAACTAGAACTGAACTAGAACTGAACTAGAACTGAACTAGAACTGAACTAGAACTGAACTAGAACTGAACTAGAACTGATCTAGAACTGAACAAGAACTGAACTAGAAAAAAAAAAAAAAAAAACTGAACTAGAATTGAACTAGAACTGAACTAGCAATGAACTAGAACTGAACGAGAACTGAAGTAGAACTTAACTAGAAATGCATTAGAGCAGAACTAGAACTGAGCTAGAAATTAATTAGAGCAGAACTAGAACTGAACTAGAACTAAAACTAGAACTGAACTTAAACTGAATTAGAACTGAACCGGAACTGAACTAGAACATAACTAGAACTAAAATAGAAATATAAGTTATTTAGAATTGAATGAACGGGAACTAGTATGTTCTATCTGTATAACAGTATTTTATGTTATACAATTAGAAAACTTTCAAGCAAGTGTTAAACTAACAATCTCAAACTTTAATAACGGTTTCCCCATATTCACAAAATTACCCAAAAACTTCCTTAATGAAAGCAAAAACAAAACAAGTTTATTAATATTTCCGTTATGGAAAGAATATCCACAAATAATATAGAAAATATTACAAAAAAAGTATAATAAAACTCTTTTATAAATATTTACTCAATATTTGTCCAAAAAATTTCATAATAAATACACATAATACCCAAAATATTTTTACATTTATTTTTAAAGGTTGTTTTTTCATCAGTTTTTTTTTTTGTACGAATTCAATGCAGAATATAACTGAAACATGAGCGTTTTATAATTTAATTAAAATTTTAAGCCGCAATAAACAACAAAAACTACACAAAAACCAATGACCAATATAAAACCTTTTAAAAAAAAAAGAAGAGTTAAACAGGATATAAAACCGCCACATGCAGGATATTTTTATATTTTTGAAAAATATATTTTTCAAATGACCTTTTTTGTGCCAAAACAACAAAACAGAACAAAAAAAAAATGGCAAATATATTTGCTTATCTCCTCATATATAGAACATATTCATTTGTATTATATTTTATTTAATTGTAGATCAAATTACAGTTTTTTTTGGCGAAAATAAATCTTTATGATAATGACCCTGTATATTCAATTGCCTTGTCAATTTTGAAAATGGTTTGTTTGCGGCTGATTTTAAAACAAAACTAAATTTAGATTTGGTGGTGGATTTTCGGGGGTTTGTACTCAAAACTTTGCAACAGTAACAATTGCCACCCGTTGTTTGAAAAACGTGTCAAAACGTTGTTCCAAAACGGTAGCCAAATTAATTAGAAATTATTTCAGTTTTTTTTCGCTTTAATTAGATATAAATTTCATAACAAGTTCTTTAAAGTGAGTTAAAAAAAAAATGTTACTTGTTACTTTCACAGTTCTTCTGTGAATTGCAGCTCTTGAAATGTACGTCAAGTTGTCACTGAATTTCTAACAAAATTTGCTTTCAGGTTCAAAAATTTTAATTTTTTCTCTTTCTACTTCAGTTCCAGTTCTAGTTTAGTTGCACTTCAGTTTTAGTTCTAGTTTAGTTGCACTTCAGTTTTAGTTCTACTTCAGTTTTAGTATAGTTCTAGTTCAGTTTTAGTTCTCTATAGAATCTAAATGGAGATTTCGATCTATATCGTATGCCATAATTTGGGCCCAGTTCTAGTTCAGTTTCAGTTCATTTCTAGTTCTGTTCTAGTTCTGTTCTAGTTCAGTTCTACTTTTGTTCTACTTTTGTTCTAGCTCGGGTTATGTTCTAGTTCCAGTACTGTTCTAGTTATGTTCTAGTTCCGTTCTAGTTATGTTCTAGTTCTGTTCTAGTTCTGATCTAGTTCTGATCTAGTTCTGATCTAGTTCTGTTCTAGTTCTGTTCTACTTCAGTTCTAGTTCAGTTCTAGTTCAGTTCTAGTTCAGTTCTAGTTCAGTTCTAGTTCAGTTCTAGTTCAGTTCTAGTTCAGTTCTAGTTCAGTTCTAGTTCAGTTCTAGTTCTAGTTCAGTTCTAGTTCAGTTCTAGTTCAGTTCTAGTTCAGTTCTAGTTCTGTTCTAGTTCTGTTCTAGTTCTGTTCTAGTTCTGTTTTAGATCAATTCTAATTCTGTTCTAGTTCTGTTCTAGTTCTATTTTAGTTCTGTTCTAGTTCTTTTCTAGTTCAGTTCTAGTTCAGTTTTAGTTCTGTTCTAGTTCAGTTCTAGTTCAGTTCTAGTTCAGTTCTAGTTCAGTTCTAGTTCAGTTCTAGTTCAGTTCTAGTTCAGTTCTAGTTCAGTTCTAGTTCTGCTCTAGTTCTGTTTTAGATCAATTCTAATTCTGTTCTGTTCTAGTTCAGTTCTAGTTCTATTTTAGTTCTGTTCTAGTTCTTTTCTAGTTCTTTTCTAGTTCAGTTCTATTTTAGTTCTGTTCTAGTTCTTTTCTAGTTCTGTTCTAGTTCTGTTCTAGTTCTGTTCTAGTTCTGTTCTAGTTCTGTTCTAGTTCTGTTCTAGTTCTGTTCTAGTTCTGTTCTAGTTCTGTTCTAGTTCTGTTCTAGTTCTGTTCTAGTTCTGTTCTAGTTCTGTTCTAGTTCTGTTCTAGTTCTGTTCTAGTTCTGTTCTAGTTCTGTTCTAGTTCTGTTCTAGTTCTGTTCTAGTTCTGTTCTAGTTCTGTTCTAGTTCTGTTCTAGTTCTGTTCTAGTTCTGTTCTAGTTCTGTTCTATTTCTGTGCTAGTTCTGTTCTAGTTCTGTTCTAGTTCTGTTCTAGTTCTGTTCTAGTTCTGTTCTAGTTCTGTTCTAGTTCTGTTCTAGTTCAGTTCTAGTTCTGTTCTAGTTCTGTTCTAGTTCTGTTCTAGTTCTGTTCTAGTTCTGTTCTAGTTCTGTTCTAGTTCAGTTCTAGTTCTGTTATAGTTCTGTTCTAGTTCTGTTCTATTTCTGTGCTAGTTCTGTTCTAGTTCTGTTCTAGTTCTGTTCTAGTTATGTTCTAGTTATGTTCTAGTTCTGTTCTATTTCTGTGCTAGTTCTGTTCTAGTTCTGTTCTAGTTCTGTTCTAGTTCTGTTCTAGTTCTGTTCTAGTTCTGTTCTAGTTCTGTTCTAGTTCTGTTCTAGTTCTGTTCTACTTCTGTTCTAGTTCTGTTCTAGTTCTGTTCTAGTTCTGTTCTAGTTCTTTTCTAGTTCTGTTCAAGTTCTGTTCTAGTTCTTTTCTAGTATTTATTCCGAAATTTCTACATGTTTCCTATCTAAAGCCTTTTATTTATTCGACACCTCTTTCTCTTCTTTACTTCCAGGTCTGGTTTCAAAATCGTCGTGCTAAATGGCGTAAAACCGAAAAATGTTGGGGCCACAGTACCAAAATGGCCGAGTATGGCCTTTACGGAGCCATGGTTAGACATTCATTACCTCTGCCTGAAACCATTATCAAATCTGCCAAAGAAGATGAATCGGTGGCGCCTTGGCTTTTAGGAATGCATAAAAAATCACTCGAGGCAGCCGATGTTTTAAAATCGGATGATAGTGATCGTGAAACTCCCACCTCGGATGATACAAATACCTCTTATTCGGCCGGCAGTACTCACAACTCACCCATATCGTCGTTCTCTATTTCACGACTGCTGTTCGATAATAGCACCCATCATCAGGGTAAACATAAAGTTCAAACACATGTTAGTGCCGCCGGCGGTTTGGCTCCTGTAAATCATGATATTATGACCAATTCACATCATACGGGTATGCAGCATCATCCCTACAATCAGCAGCAACATTTACATCATCTTCAGCAATTGCATCAGCAACATCAACAGCAGCAACAACAACAGCAGCAGCAACAGCATCAACATCAGCTAATGATGGCGGAGGCTGCTGAATTACATCGCCGCCGTCAGGAGGAATATCAGAGAGAACAACATCAAAGAGATTTAAGTGCTCATCATCTGCAGCAGCAACAACAACAACATCAACAACAGCAACAACAACAATCTCAACATTTAGCACGTTTTAATGATGATCATGATGATGATCTTATGGCTGAGGACGATAACGATGATGATGATTGTGATAAAGAAGAGATTGATATTTGTGATGATACCGATGAGGATCCCATTAAAGATATTAAAATGATCAAACGAGAAGAAGTAGAGAATAGATGAAATTTATTTATCGATGTTTTATTGTAAATTTAAAAGAATAGTTTTTAAAAAAAAATCAACACGCTTTTAGACACTTTAATGGTAAAAATCAATAACACAACAAAAACACAAACAAATAATAATAATTTTTAGTTTTATTAATAATAAATACTTTTAAAATATATTATTCAAAACTTAACTTAGTCCAGACAAAAACCCTCAGCACAACAAATCAAACGAAATCATTTTGAAAATCTTTAATTTTACACAAAATAACAACGAATTTCTTTTTTTAAAAAATGTGTAAAATATAATAAATTATAAATTAAAGAAAAACAAAAACCATATTTAAAACTGTATATAAATTTCTTTAAAAAAAATAGTTTTATTTATTAATTTCTAAGCAGCTAATTGTGATTTTAGTTTATTTTTTTCTAAATATAATTTCTAAATTTTAATAATAATAATAATAAAATACACACCCTTTTAAAACCAGTGCATTTAATTTTTAATGTAAATGTTATAATCTAAAAAATATAAACTCACCAAAATCCACTTAATTTCTAAATGTTTATAATACAAAATAATTATAAAACTAAAATAAAAAAATTATAAATATGTCTAAATAATAATAATATAAAATTTACTTTTTAGCTTTAATTAGTAATTTCGTTTAGTAATTAAGTGGTTATATTCTTAAATTAAAAAAAAATACTTTAAATATAAATCTATTATAATGTGAACGAAATATATGATTGTGTAATATAAAACTCTTTAAAATATAGGCAAAAAAATCTAAACAAAAAATCTTATAAATGATCAAAAAATATATATACACTTGTATGGTAAATTCAAAATCTCAGTGTTTTATTAAAAAAATATATAAAAGTACCTATCAAAGAAGTTAAAGGATTTATACTAAGTTCCGCTCAAAATCAATCCTACCTTAGTTCTGGTGCACCCCTACTTCAGTTTTAGTTCGATTTCAGTTCAAGTTCTAGTTGAAATCTAGTTATACCCACCATCAAAAAAGATGGGGGGTATATTGATTTTGTCATTCCGTTTGTAACACATCGAAATATTGGTCATAGACCCATAAAAGTATATATATTCCGGGTCCTTATTAAATTCTAAGACGATCTAGCCATGTCCGTCCGTCTGTCCGTCCGTCTGTCTGTTGAAATCACGATAGGGACCACACGAGTGGACCTAGACAGTTGAAATTTTGCATAAATATTCTCTATTATTAAGGTTTGTTTGGTATTGAAAACGGGCAATATCGGTCCACTTTTTCGGATAGCCCCCATACAAGTGGACCTCCAAAAAACAGCTTTAACGGGCATATCTGCTTTAGAAGTACAAGTATAGCAATGAAATTCGACATAAATAAGTTTCATATAAGCCAAAATCTTTCTACCAAATTTTTTGAGGATCGGCCCATAAATGACCCTACCCCCCATATAAGGTCCCCTTCTGAAAATTACTTTAACACTTATTACTGGTCCCAAAATGCAAGTATAGCGATGAAATTCGGTATAAGTATGTTTCTTACGAACCAAAATCTCTCTACTTATTTTTTTTAGGATCGGCTCATAAATGACCCTACCTATAAGGTCCCCTTTAGAAAATGACTTTAACACTCATTACTGTCCTAAAAATTCGAGTATAGCGATGAAATTCAGTATAAGTAAGTTTCTTACGAACCAAAACCTTTTAACTAATTTTTTTAGGATCGGCCCATAAATGACCCTACCCCCATATAAGGTCCCCTTCTGAAAATGACTTTAACACTCATTACTGGCCCCAAAATGCAATTATAGCGATGAAATTCAACATAAATAAGTTTCATGTGAGCCAAAATCTTTCTACCAAATTTTTTTAATGATCGGTCCATAATTGACCCTACCCCCCATATAAGGTCCCCTTTAGAAAATTACTTTAACACTCATTACTGGTCCAAAAATGCGAGTATAGCGATGAAATTCGGTATAAGTAAGTTTCTTACGAACCAAAATCTCTCTACTTATTTTTTTTAGGATCGGCTCATAAATGACCCTACCCCCCATATAAGGTCCTCTTCTGAAAATGACTTTAACGCTCATTACTGGCTAAAAAATACGAATATAGCCATAAAATTTTACACAATTAAGTTCCTCGCGAGCCAAAATCTTTTTAATAACTTTTATGTGGATAGGTCCATAATTGGCCCTACTCCCCCTATTGGGTCCACTTCAGGAAATATCTTAAACGCTCATTACTGTCTTAAAAATACGAGTAAAGCGATGAAATGCTACACACGTAAGTTTCTTACGAGCTAAAACCTCTGTACCAATTTTTTTTGATCGGCCCATAAATGACCCTTCCCCCATATAAGGTCCCCCTCTGCAAATAACTACAATGCTCATTACTGGCTTAAAAATATGAATGTGACGAAAATTGACGCACATAAGTTTAATGAGTGCCAAAATCTCTCCACCAAATTTAGGTAGGATCGGTCCATAATTTACCCTACAGCCCATATAAGGTCCCCTTCAGAAAATTACTTAAACGATCATTACTGGCTTAAAAATATGAGTTATGAAATACGGTTACGGTTATGAAATTCGCTCCGAATTTCATGCGGAATGTGTCGGTAATTCCCTTCAGGAAAGAGTTTTGGTTAATAAAATACGAGTGTTCCTTATTTAAAATACGAATATAGCGCTGAAATTTTGCATAAACAAGTTCTATACATAATCTATGTACAAAATTTTATGAGTATCGGTTCATAATTGACGCTCACGGCTTAAGAATTGAAATAAAATATTTGTTTTTTAAAAATTAATATTTTGTTAGTTCAAAAGAGCTCGGTCCATAATTGACTTAAGCCATATTCCAAATATCACCCTGATGTTTATAGGGGAGCATTCCTTTTACGGCATACGGTTTGATGGTGGGTATATGAGATTCGGCACAGCCGAATATAACACTCTTACTTGTTTAGTACTAGTTCTGTTCTTGTTCTGTTCCGTTCTAGTTTATTCTAGCTCTGTTCTAGTTATATTCTAGTTCTGTTCTATTTATATTCTAGTTCTGTTCTACTTCTGTTCTAGTTCAGTTCTCGTTCCATTCTAGTTCTGCACTAAACTAGTGATAGTTCTGTTCCAGTTCTGCTCTAGATTAGTGATAGTTGAGTTCTAGTTTTTGTTCACTTCTAGTATAGTTTCAGTTTGTTTCATTTTTAGTTCAGTACTACTTCAGTTCTATGTACTTAAGTTCCAGTTTTATTTGAGATCAAGTTCAATTTTCTGTTCTAGTTGTGTTCTAGTTCCGTTCTAGTTCTGTTTTAGTTCTGTTCTAGTTCTTTTCTAGTTCTGTTCTAGTTCTGTTCTAGTTCTGTTCTAGTTCTGTTCTAGTTCTGTTCTAGTTCTGTTCTAGTTCTGTTCTAGTTCTGTTCTAGTTCTGTTCTAGTTCTGTTCTAGTTCTGTTCTAGTTCTGTTCTAGTTCTGTCCTAGTTCTGCTCTAGTTCTGTTCTAGTTCTGTTCTAGTTCTGTTCTAGTTCTGTTCTAGTTCTATTCTAGTTCTGTTCTAGTTCTTTCTAGTTCTGTTCTAGTTCTGTTCTAGTTCTGTTCTAGTTCTGTTCTAGTTCTGCTCTAGTTCTGTTCTAGTTCTGTTCTGTTCTAGTTCTGTTCTAGTTCTGTTCCACTTCTGTTCTAGTTCTGTTCTGTTCTAGTTCTGTTCTAGTTCTGTTCTAGCTTCTGTTCTAGTTCTGTTCTAGTTCTGTTCTAGTTCTGTTCTAGTTCTGTTCTAGTTCTGTTCTAGTTCTGTTCTAGTTCTGTTCTAGTTCTGTTCTAGTTCTGTTCTAGTTCTGTTCTAGTTCTGTTCTAGTTCTGTTCTAGTTCTGTTCTAGTTCTGTTCTAGTTCTGTTCTAGTTCTGTTCTAGTTCTGTTCTAGTTCTGTTCTAGTTCTGTTCTAGTTCTGTTCTAGTTCTGTTCTAGTTCTGTTCTAGTTCTGTTCTAGTTCTGTTCTAGTTCTGTTCTAGTTCTGTTCTAGTTCTGTTCTAGTTCTGTTCTAGTTCTGTTCTAGTTCTGTTCTAGTTCTGTTCTAGTTCTGTTCTAGTTCTGTTCTAGTTCTGTTCTAGTTCTGTTCTAGTTCTGTTCTAGTTCTGTTCTGTTCTAGTTCTGTTCTAGTTCTGTTCTAGTTCTGTTCTAGTTCTGTTCTAGTTCTGTTCTAGTTCTGTTCTAGTTCTGTCTAGTTCTGTTCTAGTTCTGTTCTAGTTCTGTTCTAGTTCTAGTTCTGTTCTAGTTCTAGTTCTAGTTCTAGTTCTGTTCTAGTTCTGTTCTAGTTCTAGTTCTAGTTCTGTTCTAGTTCTGTTCTAGTTCTGTTCTAGTTCTGTTCTAGTTCTGTTCTAGTTCTGTTCTAGTTCTGTTCTAGTTCTGTTCTAGTTCTGTTCTAGTTCTGTTCTAGTTCTGTTCTAGTTCTGTTCTAGTTCTGTTCTAGTTCTGTTCTAGTTCTGTTCTAGTTCTGTTCTAGTTCTGTTCTAGTTCTGTTCTAGTTCTGTTCTAGTTCTGTTCTAGTTCTGTTCTAGTTCTGTTCTAGTTCTGTTCTAGTTCTGTTCTAGTTCTGTTCTAGTTCTGTTCTAGTTCTGTTCTAGTTCTGTTCTAGTTCTGTTCTAGTTCTGTTCTAGTTCTAGTTCTAGTTCTGTTCTAGTTCTGTTCTAGTTATGTTCTAGTTCAGTTCTAGTTCAGTTCTAGTTCAGTTCTAGTTCAGTTCTAGTTCAGTTCTAGTTCAGTTCTAGTTCAGTTCTAGTTCAGTTCTAGTTCAGTTCTAGTTCAGTTCTAGTTCAGTTCTAGTTCAGTTCTAGTTCAGTTCTAGTTCAGTTCTAGTTCAGTTCTAGTTCAGTTCTAGTTCAGTTCTAGTTCAGTTTTAGTTCAGTTCTAGTTCAGTTCTAGTTCAGTTCTAGTTCAGTTCTAGTTCAGTTCTAGTTCAGTTCTACTTCTAGTTCAGTTCTAGTTCAGTTCTAGTTCAATTCTAGTTCAGTTCTGGTTCAGTTCTAGTTTAGTTCTATTTTAATTCTTATTCAGTTCTAGTTCAGACCTAGTTAAGATATAGAATCTAGAATTTAATTAGATAGAGCCATGCCTAATACTTAAAAGGAAAATGTTTTAATCCCTAAAAGAATTGCTAAAAATTTCAATTCGTCCTCATACGTAATTTCTGATATGTCAGTAACGGTTTAGCAAAGTGGAAAAACATAAAAAAAATCGTTATGTCTGGCAGCTTATTACATTAACAGAAAATATTATTTAACGGAAATTTATATATAATCAGGTGGCAGCATACAGTGTAGTTATTTAATAACTCCTAAA